CCAGAATGTGAAGTGTATGAAGTACAACAATTAAAACAGAAGGGTAGATACTCTGATCTCATTAAAATTTCTTTTGAAGATGAAAGTCATTAGATTTCAATGAGAACTTGGAGAAGAAGCTCACATTGACGTGAAAATATTTAACCTGTAGTCTACAGTGCTTCAAGCAATTGATAGTATGATAAATAATTGCTTGGCTGTAGGAACCACATAGAAGGGGGAAAAAAAAAAGGATTACCCTAATCAAATACAGTCAGTGCAGAGTTGCCTGTCTCTGTGCTCCACATTTCATTCTGAATTGTTCAGAAGTTTGCAGTTACAAAAACGGAAATCCTGAGTTCTTAAAGAGGAAATTGTAAAGGATTTCTTTTCCTGCCACCTCCAAGAAAACTTTGATAATATTCAGGGTCAGTTCCTCAGCTGGCATGATCAGCATAGCTAAGTTGAAGCCAGTGGATCATTGCCAATTTATAACAGCTGAACGTCTGGTTTTACTACAGGGACAGACCTATTTTACAACTTTTTCCTCCATGTCCCTACCTCCTTTATTTATTTTAGTAAAGACATTAATAGCCAAATACAGTATTGTCAGAGGAGAAGGTGTCTTTTCCTCTTCTTCAAGGCACAGTTCTTTTTTTTGTTGTGAGTTGAAATAGTGATTAATTCTCACTCAATATTTTAGTATCAATGCAAAGTGCAAGCTAGGACTGCGCAAGACTTTAATATAGAGGTATTTTTACACTAAATATTAAGTGTAAAATATATTAATATAAAATATATAATATAGATATTATTTTACATTATATATTATTATAAAGGGGAGCTCACCTCACTCAGTGCTCAACACTGAAAAAAGCTAAATAATGATTTTAACACAGGCCTTAAGTAAATATAGTAGATCCTCCAGAAAAGGCAGAGCAAACTTGTGTTAGACCACAGTAAAACAGTAATATAAATAGTGCTATGCAGTTAGTTCACTGTAAAGAAATGGATAGGGGCAGAAAAAGGATGACACACAAATAAGGTTCAATACTGTAAGTCAATGGCAAAACCAGGATGGCTCTTACACATTATCCCACTGGACATGCAGCCCCCATGCAGTCAGGAAGGAAAAACACCTGTGTGTCCTTGCTCACAAGAGGAGGGTGCTTTTACATAACAATATTAAAGGCTGTGGAAAAAAAAAAACAACTCATCATTTCCTCTTCTATCTCTGTTTGAACCCCCTAAATGCTCAGATCATAAATATACAGTGCTTAGCAATGCTCTACCAAGCCCTCTTTGCATCCTGGGCAGCATGATCCTAAATAAAACATCCCTACAGATGAAGATTCTGACTTCTCTTTAGCATATAGGCACTCAGCATATGAGTCAGTGGATAAAATCCATATGGCTCTCTGCACAGTCCAAGAGATTGTCTGGAGGATTATGTAGGCAGCAGTTTTCTTTTAATTAAAAGAACAAGTAACCCAAATTTCACAGTTCTCTAATCCTGGACAGTGTTTGCTTTACCCCAGAATTCTTTCTTCTGAAAAGAAAGATAAAACCCTTATACTTTAACTACAAGTTTGAGAACACTCCTGATGCCAACAAGCAGGTTGCCTCAGTGGCCCACTCCAAATCACAGGGTCCTTGGAGCCCTCCCAAGTGCATGTTCCCCCCCAACCACGCAGACCTCCCAAGTGCACATTTCCCCCAGCATAGCCTTCCTGGCACACAAGCAACTGACCTCTCCTCAAGCACTTTCCTCCATGTCTACACTGTGCCTAGATCCCAAGCTGCAAGCAGCAATCTCTTCTATTCTGATAAAGGTAAAAAAAAAAACACGTTTGGCTGTTCCTCCAGCCAAACAACTGCTCTCCTATTTCACAGCTTTCCCTTGTTAAGGTAATGAGCTGTACAACTCGCAGGTGCATGCAGGGGCACAACTCCCAGCATCTCCTTACTGCTTTCCTGCCAGTACTGGTAGGGAATTGGTTCCACCACAGTTGTATAAAAATAGAAAAACAAATTCTGAAAAGAAGTCATTTAGGAAGGAAAAACCCAAACCTATATATCCTGCATATATTAAAAAAGACAGTACTTTTCTTCCATTTCTCCCCTATCAGGAAAATGCTCTAGGGAAAGCAACTGATTTTGAAAAGCCTTTCGATCTTGACAATAATATTTTTTTGCCTTCTTTGACAAATACGAGTTCAGACAATATATTTCTGACCAGCTTGAGCTGCATAAGCAGGCTTTCATAGGGCCTCAGGATAGCCAGAAAACTTGATGGTGAGTGAAACTCTTAACATGCAGCAATGGTTTCCTTCTGACTAGAAACAAACATCAAGTGTGTACTGCTAGACCACTATCCACTCGCCTCTGAAATGACAGATAAAGGATAAAGATGTACTAATCTGCAACAAAATATATGAATAAAGACTCAACTACTTTTAGCTAAATTAGCCCTAATATATTCTTTCACAATCTCCCAAGAGAATATGACTCTAGAGCTGGAGATGAAGGACAACAGAAGAGACGTGAGATGACGACACAGAAGTCATGGGGCAGCCATAAAGAAATAAACCGAGTCAAAATGTAGACCTGTGGGAACCTGGCAGAGAGGCCATACAGACTGAGCTAATGCCATTACACAGGAAATGGGAAATGTGGCTGGTCTCCTTCAATCAACTTTTACAATCTTCCAGAAAGCTTTGGTTTAATTCAAGGACAAACATATGTACATATATATGTTCAATTCCTGGCATTGGCAAGGTTTGCTGCAAGAGAAAAATTTAAAAGCCACATTTACCCTTTAGGTAAGTGGACAAATTCCACTAAAATTTTGGTACTTGCAAATAAATTTGAAATTCAGTCTTTTGGATGTGCAACTGAGGCATGTTTTCCCCGATAGTGTCCTGTCAGTAGTGCGGTGTTACAATGATGTACTGACTATAATAGAGGAGAATTTTTTAGCTGTGTACTACATAGTTTTTCAAATTGCAGTAGATGAAAAGGAATGATTTGAGCTATGAACAAAACTTGATAATTAGAGCTTGATGGAAAAGACTTTGTATTTACATTAGGATGAAACTTTTGGAAGAGATGATGAGGAATGACCTTAATAACTACTCAGATGAGGCAACATCCCAACAATTTGCTCTCAGCTGGTAATGGAAGAAGCCAAAGGTAATTTTCTTGCTCAGTAATACAGACTAAAAGTTTGGACTTCCATTGCTGATATAACAAATATGTGCCTGGACCATCCTGGAACAGTCAAGTTGGGAAAATCTATCTCAATATTCCTTTTTAGACCGTTTGCAGAATATGTGAAGATTTTTTTTGTTTGTTTGTTTTTACAAATCATTTGCAAGGGAAGGAGAAACCGAAGTTAAAACATGGTAAATGCCCATGATGCATCATCTGGGAACATACTCTGTTAACCAGTGCAGAAAACTAAAACACTGTAACGTTTCTGAAAAATCCACATCTAGTTATCTACCTCAGATTTCAGTGTAGGCACTAACTACTGAGCTGCTGTTGTATATTCTGTTGAAAAGGGGGTCTTTAGCTGTCCATTTTGCTGGAAAATCCACCTTTAGCAAAACTGAAAAAATTTGACAGAAGCCAATATTGCTGGAAGATTCCCCATCTGCTTCATTGTGAGTGGTTGTCTTGTACAGAAATAGAAAGTTATTTTGCTGTGTAGAACTGCTGAAAAAATATGGTGCAAGTGATATTTTGTTGCAACTGCATCTGTGACTGTTCTATAGTAAGAATAGTAAAGACAAGACTATGAGAGTGAGCCACTATCATAAAGCTTTGTCCCAGCCACTGGTGGAACTTCCATATGAACAATGAATTTTGCAAACACTGATTAAAAAGAAAAAATGTTTCATTAACATTAACAAAATCTCCCCGAAAATTCAGCAGAAAACTGACTTTTGTTATTCTGCAGAGTTTAAAGACCTCTATTGTTACTGTAGGTAATCCAATCAACGTGAACACTTTCCTGAATATATTCTAAAAATATCACCCAAATATTTGAGATGAAGGAATTAAAAAAAAGGCTAAAAACATTAAGGGAAACATACATTCAAATAAATCCCTCCAGTACATTACTGAACAGCCACCACTCTAAAGACCAAACATTTTAGATCACTATCACAAAATAAAGGTATTCCTTTGTTAGTTTGTTACTGTATATCCCTATAATCAGGCTATATCCAGGACTAAATCTGCAAACAAAAATTAGACATGCTGTAGTATTTGATATTTAGGAAATCCTTTTGCCCTTGTAGTATTTGTCATTCTGTTATGTTAAATTTAGCTGGTCAAATTCTGCTCTTACTTGAACTTCACATCTGTCAACAGAGAGTGTACAAGGCATACATCAAGGCAGTATTTAGCTCAGCTTAGAGAGAGATGTGGTATTTGAAATACATTTTATCTTTTGAAAGCCATATATTTTACCAATAATAAATGTTGAAACAAGGTTCCCCAGGGTCATGCAATTTGTGTTTTTCCTACTCAGCTAAAGACGATTGTAAGGAGCTGAAATAAAGAGAAATATTGTCATTTGGCTATAACAGTGTAATGTGCTTGATATCGTTCCTCTGACACTTTGGACACTTTGTTTAACAAGGAAATCAACAAAAACAGACTAGCTGCTGAGTACTTCCAGGTTGAGAGTTTGTGACAATACTGGATTGTCACCTTGAAGGCTGTGCTATGTGTGCCACCAAGCTGACAGAAATTCACTCTCTGCAGCACAGGCAGAGAACTGGCTGTGTGGTGAATGGTAGACCTTTAGCAGCTAGTAAAAGAGCAGCACTTCAGGCAGTTGCTGCAGACAACAGCTGCAGACATCAAAGAATAAAAGAGGAAGAGAGAAAGACTAGGTAGAAAAGGAATTTAATCTGCATTATTTTTTATGAAGTAGATATGTTACTTTTTTAGTGATATAAACATACTATCAGTTTGCATAACTTTAAAAAACTAATATTAAAGATACTTACAAATATTACTCCTGGAGCAATAATTCCTCAAGGATCCTACTGGAGTCCCAAATGGTGAGTCCTATTAAAAATACTGTGTTTTATTAAAAAAAAACATGCTTTGAAAATCTCAGGTAAAATTTTCAAGTGATTTTGCTCAGTCAAGTGGAAATCACCAAAGCAAGTAAACATACTGGGCAGTATTTACTGTCACTACAGTGTTCTAAATTTCTTATACCATGTACATGGAAACAGAAATCACAGATGCTCAGAGTCCCTAGAGTGAGAGAAGTCATCTATTAAGGTGACTAAATTTCTTCTCTTACCCTTTGCAGAGGTGACCAAAACTGAAGATGTATTTGTAAAATATTCTAGTTTGTGCCTATAAGCATATACACTGCATATATTTTGGAGTGGCACAAAAGTAGTAGTTGCTTTTGGCATTTTAGCAGAGGACAACTTATTAATGATGTAATAACTTGTAGTAAGCGCTTTCATCAGCTGTTACATTGAAAGATGTAATTGCTGTAGGTTATCAGATTAGTGCTGAAATTCAGTTTTAAATGGTCAATAAATGAGTAAGCAATGAAAGAACTGTACATACTGCCCAAATTGTAAACACAAAATAGACTACAATTAAACACAAAAGACCAAAATTAGGTCTTTTCAATTGGATGACTGTATACATTATGTAGAGAAATTCCAATTGTTTATATCTGAAACTCTTAAAAACATAATTTCAAATTTCTCTGAAATTCTTCAAAAAATTCCAGTACACACACACACACAAAGGTGGAAACAAAATAACTAGCTTCATCTCAAACTCTTGGTCCCATTGTCTGTAACCAAACTTTTTGTAGTTTTTGCTCAATTTATTTGACATCAAATGTTAACCTGCTGTGGCACTTTACTGTCATATTTGTTTACTAGTGGGGGTAATTTGATTTATTTAAAGTCTTATAACGTGGAGACAGATATTCTTCACAGATATTTTAGTTCAAATAGTTATCCACATAGCTAGTTATGTGTTCACTTAAACCACAGGTAATAGCATACCTGAATTTGCTATGATCTTGCTTGACAATTTTTCTGTTTACTTTTGTTTTACACAGACATTGTCTTGCATCAAGCAAAGCAACTAAGTGGGTGTTTGAGCAATCCCATTGATGCCAACGTAATTGTTCCTATACACAAAGTTAGGGATACTATACTTCAGTCTTCTGAAGATGTTCAACAGCTCATAGGTTTAACAACATTCATTTTGGTGTCTCAAAAACCATCAGTTGAAATATCAAGATTTAAATTAGAAGATACATTTCATACATGAAAATATTAGAATAATTATACCAGCTATGAGACTGAAACATACAGGCATACAGCATTATATTCAATGTCAGATTGAAAGATTCCATCAGAAAATGTCAGAAGGTATATACAAAGACTTGTTTCTCTGTTGAATTCCCACAAAAGACTCAACTAAAAATACTACATCCTGTAGGTTTTTTTTTTTTTTCAGAATGTACTTTTGCATTTTTAACTAATTCAAATTTTTCATAGTTGTACTTTCCATTCAGCCATCCAATATAGTATAATATACATATTATTTCATAAGAGACAGCTTCTGTAACTACCTTTAGGCTTTGGGACTTGAATTGACAATGGTTTTGATTTATTAGATGATAAACCTTTTTTTTTTTTTTCTTTTTAAAAAGGGAACAGTAAATAACCAATCCAATATGAAAAATGCTAAATAGCTCTTTTGAAATTTTAATGAATACTGGTTATAGTTATGATATCACCAACTACAGAATCTTCTTTGTGATGATATTTTACCTGTAGATGTGGAATGTACAGAAATGTAGCCTGCATATGTATGTGTATTTCTGTGTTGGTCTGCCGGAACACAGCAATTTGGATTGGGTGAAGCTAGCGTGTTAAAGTTGGATTCAGAAACATAAAAGAGATTATTTTGCAATATTTGGGGCTCATAAATTTTAATTGAATATTCAATAACATATTTGCTGTTAAATGTAATTCAAAGGTCTCCCTGTCTTTTTTCATACTGGTAAATCTTTAATTATTTCAGACCTCTTGCTGGTTTGGGCTTCCCAACTCTCAAATCATCGCTGAAGAAACCTTGCTCCAAAGCTTAACTCCAGCCAGTCCTCAATTCCCACCTCCAACAGCATTTTCTGCCCATGTTTATGCTATATGGCAATTCTCGATGTCAATGGTGTAGTCCAGATAGAGCTAGGACTGACAGGACCATGCACCTTGATCCTTGCGTTCAGACCTCTACCTCTGGCTTAGTATTCAGCTCAACTCCTAAGCCATCAAGCCTTCAGAATTACTCCACTGTTTTCTCTAAATGCCTACAGGGTCCGTCTCATGCAATCTGCTATTGAGCAAACTCTGCTCCATCAGCCTGTATTCTATAGGCTATGATCAAGGCTTGCAGAGCTCAGAAGCTCTTTTCTCCCTGACTGATTTACCCACACCACTTTTCCAGACTTGCCATTCCTCAGAACTGTTCCTGGCTTTGCTATCACTAACCCAGCATTACCAGAATGCAGTTAAGTGTTTATCACTTAAAACTTTAAGTGTTAATTGCTTAGTAATGAAAACTTTAATTGCAAGGAGATTAAACTTCTAACTGCTAAGTGGCTGGCAGAGTTCCATCCCATAACAACCAAGACTCACCAACAGAATATTTTTTAAATGCCCTTTCTGTGGAATAAACCTTATATCCAAGTGTGTGAAGGCCGAGATGCAATATGGTTAAGTATTTTCAGGACTAAGAAAAAATATGCCTGAATTATTAAGACGTATTAAACAAGCAATGGCTAATTTGGGATTAAATAAAATCTCAGTGTTCAATTTAGAAATGTCTAAATTACAAAAAGAAAATAAGAAAATTCCTCCCCTACCTTTATTTGACTTGCATGTGTCCTCAGGTAAATTGATCCCTCCAAAAATGCATACCCTGAGAAAGACATTCAGGTCATCCTGACCTGGTCTTAAGGATGGAGATTCTGTTGTGTTCTCAAATGGATAGATTCACTATTGATTGCCAGAACTAATGTGTAACCTGAGAAACCTTTCTTGCCTTCAGAAAAAGTATTCTGATCTTAATTTTCACAATTTCGTAAGAAATAGTGCCAGAAATGAAGCATCTAATTCTGTGTAGATTATATATTCTGCTTTTTTTTTTTTTTTTTTTTTTTACTGTGGGTGCTGATGGAGCTAAGTAGAGATGTTTAATGCAATGTTACTTGTGAGACAAATAAGGGCTTACACTGGATAATGAAATAGAGATGCAGGCAAACTGAATTCTTAGCATACTGTTAGCTGCTCAACCAAGAACTAAGTTAGACTGAAGCCATCAGTCTTTTTTCTCATTTTTAGGATTTGGGGAAGAGACATCAAATCTATACTCCTTAATATCTTGTCATTGTATTTATTTTGCATTCAAAATTCCAATGTATTTCTTTAAGATCTCTCTCATGACACAAGAGCTTTGCAAAGGGCTTGGACAGTGTTGCCAAACACAGAATAAGCACAGTACCTCTTGCTCTTACCTCCAGAGCCACAATATGAGAAGCTTCTGGCACTCTGATGTCCTGTCAGTTTTTAATGCGAACTCTGGAAGTTCACGGACACGACGCTGTACAATCTGAAGAAGATAAATCACAGTTACTTCGAGCCAGCTGACAGCAGTTTAAGCTGCTGCAATCATCAACCACCAAGGGAGTTTCTTCTTTTATCTTACTAAATGCAAAAGTATACTGGGAACTGGTAATATCACTGGACTATCAGGAGCCCTGCTTTTACATAAATATCAGCAAGCGGTAAGTAAATTCTGTTGACGAAATGTAATAAAACAAAGACGGTTTCAAATATGACCATTCCCTGATGCATTCTGTAGCCCCGTCTTACTCACTTATTGCATGCTGCTGAGATTATAAGGTTTGCTTTTATCTGTCAGAAATCAATATTTCAAACATCAGATAAAAGAGGAAATTGAACTGGGAATAGGCTGAAGTGCTGTAAAAACTACAAAGCACAATTATCAAAAAGCACTTAAAGTACTTAATAGGACACACATATAAAAATGCTCAAATTAATGTCAGGGAACTATAATGAGAACTTTTTCTATGTTTTTTGATCCAAATGCAATGTAATTCGAGAGCAGCCTGGTCAGTCAATACAGTTTTCAATTTATATGAAACCCTAAGGGTTTCTAGCAATCCATTTGCTAGAACTGAACCATTACATATGATTGGTTAATATTTCAATTTATTGAAAATACATTATTTTGTGTAAAGTGTTTAAGTTGTTGAGGTTTAACCATTATAAACAGTTATGATAAAAATAGATCTTTGGGTAAACAGATACTTTACAGTCAAGCTTTTAATAAACACTAGTATAACTAGAAAATTGGATTTTAAGGAGGATAGACATCATAAGGAAAAAACGAAGATACACGGTGGCGGGGTGAAAGGGACATGTTATACACAAATGAACTTTATCAGCATGTATTAAGCTGAGAAGGGATTTCTTTGTAAAACATTGGAAGCAATTGTTATTTTATGCAAAAAAAGTTCACTATTAACTTTGCTACTTTCCCCTTAGATTTATATATTCATTTATCATCTTTAATGTTATTGAGCTGGAGGTCCTCACAAAACTATCCATGCCAGATCAGAAATCACTGCAAATGAGTGTGTACATGCCTGTATGCAGTTATTAGCATCTACAGAAAGTAGATTGTGTGGCCCTAAGTAATTTGATATGAAATATGAAACACATACTGGAGTTATAGCTATGATTTGAGCAACCAAGATCCATGCTAACTAAATGTCTGTATGAAACTTTTTCACACTCTTCTGTAACATATAGCCCTTATTTTTAACAAGGAAAAACAAGGAATCCTTGAGAAATATTTCATTGGAAAGTTACTCTTAACATTTATAGTATAACTCTGTAACTTAACAATTACACTTATCTGATAGGAGGGAAACTCAGCTCAATCACAATTAAAAGGTGCTTCTTATTGGAACTACATCAGTCTCCCTGAGCTTGATGGAAACTACATCAATCTCTTCCTTGAATGAGACTACAGTTTCCATTAACAGACAAAATGTTTCATTAGCCCAACATCTTCCCACTGTCTCTTTGCAGTTCTCTTCTATGGTTTTGGACCAAATCCAATACAATTTATTTAGCCTACCAACTTCCTCTTTTGCTACTTTTGCCTGAGCTAAGTCAAACCTTCTTCGCTTCTTCCATTTTCAAGATGTAAAATTTAATTTCAGCCCCTAGAATCCTTATTTGGGTCATAATCTACTGCCTACCCTTCATCCTCTCTACCCTTTACAGTTCTTCAAATGTGTTCCATTTTCCTGCTTATCTCCTCAATAGTCTTTTTTTTTTTTTTTTTTTCTTTCCCTCCTTTAGATTCCCTTTCCCCAACAAACAATGCCACTCCAGCATGCCATACCATTCTCTTGGCTTTCTGTATCTATATGCCATTTCTGTTGTTCTCCTGTTTATTTGATATGGATTGACCTTCCTATGTCAGTTTGGAAGACTTTAACCTTTTCAAATTTCACAGCTTTCCTAAACATTTGCTTTTACCTTAATGCCTGCTAGAAATTTTATGAGCTAAAAGGATTACGTGGAGGTGCATATTAAAAAAAAAAAAAGAAAAAGTAAAAACTCACATAACAACTCACATTTTTTCTGTCTTTTGTTGAACACATTTTAAACATGTAAATAAAGAACAAAGTAAGCACAATCATGCAAAAATAATATATTTATAAACACAAAGAAAACTGAACATAATTTTTTATAGGGAAGGACTCCCAGATCTGGAACAACATTACAGACAGGAAGAGGACTGGCTAACAGTTATCATAATGGGTAAACATTCCTGTCTCTGTCCAAGAAGTCTTCTGCAACTTCAGAGAAATCAAATCTTTATTCTGTGAAATGGTTATAAAGTTACTGTTGCTTCAGATTGGGCAGTTTCAGGTCTTTTTAGGCATACAGTTATTTTTTGATCATACAATGTCTATGAATAATACAGTCAGGCTCTGATCTAGACAGTGAATGACTTATGCAATTCACCAGGTAAAAAAGGAGTCGAGAATCCCAATAAAGTGGCACAATATATAGAGAAAATCTGTTTCTATAATTCTGGTCTTGCGTATATTAAGAGAACACAATTCAATTGCAGGAACTGGGAAATAAGTCCCCTAAAACCGGAGTTTTCACATGTAAAACCAATGTTGACAAGACTAAAAATAAATAGATAAATTCAGCTTGAATTTTCAGATTTCTTGAATCAACAAAGAGAACATACAAGCTTTTCAAATAATAAATATTTCCAAATGACCAGGTAATAAAGAAATACATTGTTATAAAAAACAGTCTGAGTGGAAACCATAATATGACCTGGTAAGGCAATTGTAGTTACGGCAGTCGTAGATTATTGCATAATGCATTTCACAGAAGCTTCTTCTATTGTGCCTCATTGTATTTTTTCCTTCAATTATTAAATATAGTGGCTTAACCTCAAAAGCAAATGTACTTGTCTTTACATGCACTTGAATTGTTACTACCATTTAAAACTAATCAATGTTTTCTTTAGTACCATAATAGCTTGTTTGCAAAGCACCTCTTTTAGAAAAATTTACACTGCATTCAGGAAAAAAACATGTTTCACATTCTAAGAAAAACTCCTAATAAAGTGAAAGAGGGCTTGATTCTTATCTCAAAGTTTAGTGCAATTAAAATGCCTTCAAAGCTTAAAAATTTTTGCACAAAAGAAGCTGCTACTAGATTATACCAGAGTGCTCATATGTAATACATTGTATGCATTGTATATTATCCTTACTTCCTAGAGTAATTTGAAAGGACTCGCTATATATATATATAATATATATATACACACACACACCCCTATATTCCAGAGTATGTGATGCATATGACTATTTTAGCCCTATATGCTTTCTTTAATGTTAACAAGGGAAAAAATGGTTAAAATCTTATTAGCAGAGTTTAAATGCACCATTCCTTGGAAATATTATACATCTTCTGACCTGAATGTTCAATTGCAAAAAAATCACAGGACATCAAGGTCTCATTCAGTAGTGGAAAGCCCAAGCTACTCCAGTAAATTCAATATATGTACTCAGAGTACGGTTTGACACAAATGGGAATGTTCACACCACTTTGCTCTAGCAATATAAGGGAGGCTTCTAAATTAGTCTCTGTGGACTCCTTCAGAAGGAGGTCAGAGAAACAAAGTTAAGCAATATGAGTACCCTGAATGTCTCAAGTTCTGCATTTATTCAACAACCAGAAGTCTTACGGAAGGAAAAAACAAGTTTACATAGAACTCATGCAAGTTCTTATCACCTTCAAGTGTAATTACTATTTCAATAAACAGAAATATGTGATGCTTGTACTTATACATAATTCCATTGATCCCAGTAAGGTAGCGAGTCTATCACTAGGATGAAAGTTATAAAAAAAAAGAAAAAGTTAATGAGGATTATAATAATAGAACATTAGTAAAAATAAAAGCTATTGCAATGCCTATGATCACATCTGAGAACCTGATACAGTTTGTCCCATTTTTCTTGTTTGGTTTCATAGTGATACCTCCCCTTTATAGTTCTGCAATATATGTTTCATTGTGTTTGGAGCACAGATTTTCCATAACAGTTCTATCATATGTGATACCTTCTGCCTACACTTCCAAAGCTTCTACACCTACCTTGCTCTCAGCTGAATGTTGGTAATACTAATAGTGATAGTAGGTAATTTGTTTTCCTATATTATCCCTGAAAAAGATGCAGTGTAGGACTATTCCTTAAAACTTTGTAGGTTTGCATACATGTTCATACTGTATGGGGAGCCAAGTGCTTTAATTAGCATAACTGCAACATAAACTGGGTAACTGCATGTACGGGTAAGTACAATTAGCAGTTGCAGAAGTTAAAGGACTGTCAGGTAAACAAATGCCTAGCACGTATCAAGCAGAGGAGCATTCTCTAGGCAGATCCTAGAGGCTCTGTGTAGCTCTGCGTTTTTCGCCCCCCCTACATACAATCTATTTTTGAAAATCTGACTCTATTACAAAAGTAATGACAAATGAGTAATGACAAAGTAATGGATAAATTAAAAGTAAGATGAAGACTTTGAATCACAAGGACAAGAAATTTTCACCTGAACGTACAGTTCAGGGACAGAATTTCTGACTTATGAAAAGTATAGTGTTCAAAAATATGCAGTGTGTTTCAAAATGAGATAACAAACAACAAATAGGCACAAAGGAATTAGTCAAAATATCAAAAGTTTTAACTAATAAAATATTCTGTGTTGAGGAATATAGAGTGCCAAGCCTTACCAAAAATAAATAGAGTTACAATTCAAAGCACTGGACAGTGTGACTGCCCACAAACCTATGCCGAAGCATTTGCCACCAACTGCTGAATAGACTGAAGTCTTGCTCCTTTGCTAAATTATATGTTTCAGAATTAATCCTGTAGCCTGCAGCACACAGATGCTTTATAGGGCAACTTAGAGCAATCACCTCATTATTTAATAGCATTGCTTTAACTCCATTGTGATAGCTTTCACTGTTGGATATTTTCTCTTACAGGCTCATGTTTTATCCTTTTCCAGGACTACACACCTGTTTTCAGAGAATTACAATGACTTTAGTTGGAGCAGTGTATAACAAGCAGCAGCTATGAGAAACTTTCTGTGCAATTTCTCCTTAGATGGGCATATACTATAAGCATGAATTTCTTTTAACTAGTTATTCCGAGATCCCAGCTAAAAAGACATGTATATGTTTTCAATATTATTCACCATCAATTGCATGCAGTACAAAAGGAAAATATTCCAAGATATAACTAAATCATTGTTATATAGTAGATAAGATAGTTCTGTTTGCAAACTTAAAACAGGTAGAAGTTGCAATGCAGAGCAAAGTTCAACAGTGACCAGAAGAAAGAACAGAGGTGAGAATTTTTCTGTGTATTTACTAATCCAGAAATTGCGGAGAAATTGCCACACCTGTGATCCAACCAATCTGGAGGCAAAGCCTCATGCAACTAGAGCTTTTATTTTTATTTTTATTTTTATTTTTATTTTTATTTTTATTTTTATTTTTATTTTTATTTTTATTTTTATTTTTATTTTTATTTTTTTTGCTCAGCTTAATTTCTTCTTTAATGAGTGTTTTAACTTTTCAGTGGTTCTCAGTGTTTCTGTAAACATGATTTTGATTTGGTTCACCTCGGTATATTTACAGAAAAATGCAGAGAATGGCAATGGAAAAGCTTGCCTATTTGAGCAAATTCAAGGAATTCCACTGAATTCAGTGAACTTATGTCAGATTTATTTATTTATTTATTTATTTATTTATTTATTTAATTAATTTTATCTGGCAACAAACCTGATTCAGATTATTTCATAGCATCAAAAATCTGCTAAGGTAAGAGCTGCCACGTTATATATAATATTATTTCCTTCACAAGTTTAAAAATTTATTTTTATGTATACTTAGGTCCATGAATTATTATTTTTATCATCCAGAATGCATGGTTTGTGTTTTACACTTGAAATCTTAAAAACAATTTAATAGGGGGCAGCAGAATACAGTTGTATTTTATCAGTTTATTTTATATAATTGTTGATGATATGCAGTCCCCCATTGAGAACTTTGGTTTGGTGTGGCCACGGGTCTCATTGGTGTATCATAAAGGATCCTGTACAATTTCATCCTATCACTTCAATCTTAGTATTTGCTCATCATCATAGTTTTGTTATGTCAAAAATAGGACAAATTAGAAATAGCAAAACTCAAATTTCCCCAGAACATTAGGAATATATGGAAGTGTACCCAGGATTTTGTACTGAATTACACTCCCAGCCCTAAAAATAGCTTCCAAGCTGGGACCTTGCCTAAATGCATGAGCCAGTCTGACCTCCTCAAAAGCTCCCTGTCAAACCTCTTCCCCTAAACTGAAAGATAGATTAACAAAACTAATCATTCAACAGAGCATTTACTACATAGCAGTGTACTCTTACATTACAGAAATCAGTTCATCCTCTAATTTCCCTTTATTATCCAAGATTATCTTTCCAGCTGACCGTGAATTAAATATTTCATTAAGCATCATTAAGGAATTATATATACACTCTTTACCGTTCACATTGTTAATCATAAGTACTTTACTCACAGACAGCAATGAATCTGACTTTTACCTTCCAGTTTTACTACAAAGCCATTTTAGAACAGCTATCGAAAGAAACAAAATGCCCTCATTTTCAAAAGAGAATTTTAAAATTAGATTCACTTCAAAAAATCAAACATTTACTTAGAGGGTTTAAATAAGGTGACTGAGAAATGAATCCCTGGATTTTTCCATTCTTCTCTGATCTGGCTAGAATAAGGGCAGCCCAAAATTATAGATTAGTCCCTGTCTTTAAACAAGGTAGAAGATGGTGAGACAGTGCTGGGTAGTTGTACAGTCATAATGGATTATGCAGATTTTTGTGTCCTGGGTCACTGTTATGAATCTGATCCAAGACTGCAGTGATGAAATATCAATGTCATTTTATGTCTTTCTGAATCAAATCCTGACCCTGTTAGGTCAATGGCAAAACATTATCAGTACTGGGATTTTCACCTTTTGATTCTCTGGTGTGCAAAAAGAATTAGAGTTTGACTCAGCATTTGTTGACTTTAATTGGCGTTAAACTAAGTTCAAGGCCCGGATTTTTAAAAGACTTTAGGTGCTCATTTGCTCATGCTTTGAGCCTAAAAGCTGTATCCTTCAGGTGATTCAAACACTTAAAACCATAGTGTCAAAACTATAAACTTTTTATCTTTAAAGAGTAATATTATGATGGGCAAGATAATACAGTAATGCTAAGCATATACATTTCTAAATGACATCCACACACTGATTGTGTACCCTGCCATCACTGCTGTGCCAACCCCTAGCTTAGCCCAACGGCACTTCTAACACAGCTCCACTTCCAATCATTTCTCTTTCCTCTCCTAAATCGTGGGAGAAGAGCTAAATCCTGATCACTTTTCTGTTCTAGTAGTGCAGAGACCAATACCTGTGTGTTTCCTCTCTGGATAGGAAAATACCAAGCAGGTATTCTGTACTGGTAGATTCTTGGAGATGGCTGTGAACGTGATGGAATCCTCTAGGAAGGGAATCCTTTAGGGAGGGGGGTATTAAATGGTGTCGGCCGCCATGAGTGTAAGGCACACCTGGTTCAAACTGGGCCTCCTGTCACTGCATGTGGAGAGCCGAGCGTCCTCAGAGATGACTCACAGCAGCTGTCTTCTGAGCCAGCCAGTGCCAGCATGGCCCTAACATCACTGCATAAAGCACATTGATTAGGAAACCATAAATGAGGATCCAGAAAATGTCTGTATTGCTCTGCTCCACACAGTTAACTGGATAAGGGCTATTTTCACCACATTTATTTGTTTCTCTGAAAGCAAAATCCTTGTCCCAATGACAGGAGGTTCAAAATCTCTCTGACTACAGCGTTTGCGACCCTCAAGAAAATTAGCATGGATTCTGGCTTATACTCTGCATTTGGTCTAGTCTGGCTCACAGTCATCCCTTGAAAGTTCATCACTACAGACTGTGAGGTCTCAGTAGTACAGGAATAGTAACTCTTTGTGTCAAAATGACTAAATTAACAAAACAAGAGAAGTCATCAAACATCCTTTCTTTAGTGACTAATTCAAACAAAATCCTTAGAGATGCCCTGAAAGCATGTACAGGTAGCTTGTTATTTTATTTCATCCTCTTTTGTAGCAGTTATTTTAGAAAGGACATTACAAGCCATTTTTTAACCAGCGGTTGCAGGACCCTAACTCTCAAGTGTTGCATTTTTAGTCTTAGAAAGTTTTGAATCTAAAAAGAAAATCAGAATAAGAGCTAAATGAGCCATAAAATTTTGAGTGTTTATTCAAAATGGAAACAAACTCACAATATTAAATTATTTGTTCATGTCCTCCAAAAATACTAAGGTACACTGCTATAAAAATTATGTCTTGCTGTAATGCGTGCTTACTGGAAATATTTCACTTGTGCTAATATACAGTTCAGGCATGTGCTCCTAAAAGTATTTAGCTATGCTGAAAACCACCAAGGAATTAAATTGGATAAAAGCATACTGAATAAGTTGTTGGAGGTTTAATTACCTTTTCCTTTTTCCTCTTTAGTGGGAGTTCTGAATTCTGGAGGAGTAAAACTCCAGTCTCTACTGTATTGAAATGATATTTTTTTAGCACTCCAATCATTGTCTCTACCTGACTAAGACATTTCTGTGCTAAAGCAGGTGCATTTACTTTTCAAGTATTATTTTACTAATCAATTGAAAAATTACCTCCATGAATGACAGAAGTGCAGACCTTTGGAGTATTTCATTAAAAGGAGCAAACATTAATTACAAATCCAGCCCAACCTTTGCAGACATAAATTATGGGACAGATCTATTTTCTCTACGCTTAATTGCAAGCAGAGACTAGCTCTTCAAATTATTATCTCTAAGGCATGAATGAAATTAAAATGGATTTGATGATATTCTCAAGACATATTTGTATCCAAACAGTTTGGCCATCTACTATTTGTTGATACGAGAAAATTTAGATTTTGCAAAAAAAAAAAAAATAGAAATTGCAAAATGGAATTGAAATCATAAAGTCTTTTTAGACAGGGAAGTCTAATTGCAGGTTTAACAGTGAGATAGTTATTATTATTTGTTAATAACTTTCTGAAGTTTTCACATTCAGGGAGAATTTTCCAGGCAATATCCTTCCCAATAGGTAATATTTACACTTGAAGAAAAATAACTATTTTCTAGTGAAACAAAAAACTTTTCCCACAGGATTATGAAGGTTGAAATTTGGATTTAAGAATAGCTACAGTACTGAAATGTTTGTGAACAAACTGAAATCTGGCAAGAAAATAGATGAGTAAAGTGCCTTTCTTTGTTCACTGAAAACCTATTTTGAATTAGGCATGTTTGTAGATATAAAGCAGAATTTCAAAGACATTTGACAATGGCCAAATTTTGAAGTGACCATTTCTTCCTATTATTGCATGCATTTTGAGCACATTCTCTGTTTGTCTTTTTGTTCTTTTTAAATGTTAAGAAACTGCAAAATTCCATCTTTATTTGTTTGTCAGTAGGTTAAGTCAGAAACACCAGAAACAAATTTCCTAGGTTTTAAGACAGGCTTACTATTTCTCTCCTGCTACTGAGCTCTACTTTAACTATACCAGTTTTACAACTCAATCTGTTTTCCAAGGGAGAAGTATTCAATAGGTAATATTGATGGACTGACATAAATTATCATATAATAAAATACCTTTTCAATTTCTAAAAAAAATTGGCTCTGTACTTCACAAAGAGGAGGAATAGGATAATATAAAAAAAAAATAACAAGTGTAGAACTCAAATTAACACAAAACTACCTGATAAGTCTCAGTGTGAGTCAAAACCAATCTTGAAGACTTGAAGACTTAAGGTATGGAAATCTTCCTTTTTCTTTTTTTTTTTTTTTCCTGTTTCCAATAAGTGGAAAGCTAATTCCTGCAGTAAATAAACAGCATTTATTATAGCATGTATGTAGATGAAAGAAGGTGCGATTTACTGTGACAGCAAGTGAGGAATAGATGTAAAACGCAAAGTTGTTGTTTTGTTTTTTTTTTTTTTTTTTTTTTTTTTTTTTTTTTTTTTTTTTTTTTTTTAATAGTACAATGAAACATAAATATATTCTTTGTAAAACATATTTAGTGATCAACATTTTTTATTAGCCAGCCTTCTTCTGTAAGTACTTTACCCTTTATTTAACAGTGTTTGGACAAAGGAGTCTAAGCAAAAAATCTCCATGGGTACTGCTTGCCCCCCATGATTTTACTATCCTGCTACCAAAGAGGTTAATCATTTGGCACTGCATACTTTAAAAGAAAGAATGAAAGAAAGAAAGGAAAAAAAAAAAGCAAAAAAAGATAATGACTTGCTTGGAGTTTAATTTACTTGTGTCATACAATAAATACCAAGCTGAGTTCTCACAGTCTTAATCATTAACCTCAGATAGGACTTCAGCTTAAAATGCATTCCTTCATCTCTGATATGTTTCATGAATACACTTGTAGATATTTTAACTACAGTTTCAAATATGCTGAAGAGACAAAAAAATCCAAGGCCCCTCAAAAGCCAAGCTCTCTGCCACCTTATAACTTTTGGACATAATATGACCACCCATCTCAGCTGTCACAACACTTTCTGAAAGCAGAACAGAAGCTCTGCAATAAGAGATTTTTTTTTTTTTTTTTTTTTTAGGAGGCCCAGCTCAGTTTCAGAGAGCTTATTGGTACAAAGAGCAGGGCAGGGGTACCGGAACAAGGCAAAATAATCTGATATGGTATTGATTTTTTTTTTTCCAGATTTCCTATCGTTACAGACTTCTCAGGGCCATGGCAAAATATTTCTAGTACTGAATTGAAGATTCTGATACAACGTTAGAAGATTACCTCAAAAATATAATCTGGTTCAAAAAAATTAGAAATAATTGACCCAATAGAGAGAAGACTTCATGGGCTTTATAATTGTGAGTGTCTTGTTTAGGGGAGGGAAGAATGAGAAATTTTTCCTGCTCCTTTGGATTTTGGAAATATTTACATTTTCTTCATTCTCTGGTATTTCATCCTAACTGAAAAGTGAGGAGTTAACGATTGATCCAGAGCTTGGGAAAAGCAGTCAAGCAGAGGACCACTGAGGACAGGGTGAACCCTTTAACCATATTGCCTGAGAAAGGCAGCACTTGGCAATCTTTTTCTGGCAATGATAAAATCATAGGTAACCTATTTGCTCTGGAATCTAAACCAGAGCACCACGTTTAAACCACCTGCATCTGAAATGAAGATAAACATGTTATGGGGATCTCCCCTTTTACTTATAGGCCTGAATGGAACATGATTTTTAATGGACCTGGGCAAACTCCTCATTCTTAATAGCATACCATTCAAATCACAACAAAATTTAAACAAGTGTAGTGACTGTTTTTTTTTCTGCCTGAAGTTATCCAGTCCTAAAATTTTATCCAAATCTCATTGTTAAGCAGCATACACTTTATATTTCTATAGAAAGAAAAACATTATCAACAATTACTGTTTTTTAACACCTTGCAGCTTTTATATAGTTTCTTCTATATATAAGGAAGAAACACATTAATCACTGTGTGAAACTAACACCAACAAAATTTATAAAATATAGAAAGTTTGGGGTAGAGGGGGCAGGAAATCAGTTAAATTACAGATTTAAAAAATAAGACACATTCTTTATTAAGGGGTATGGAAAGGATACAAAGGACAAAGTGTATGTACCTTTAATCTACTTTTTTTTTTTTTCCTTTTTTCTTTTTTTTTTCTCTGAAGACAGAACTGCAGAGAAGACTTTGCTTAAAGTTGTATAGATCGTTAACAGAAATGTTGATAAAATGTTCTTCATCTAAGTATTACACATTGGCATAGTAATGACTGCTATATTCTAGACGTAGACAAATGTTTATTCAGGCACTGGCATGCACCGAAACAACATCCATTAATTATAGCTAAGAAGGAGAGTGAGCAACGACTGCTCTGTGGTAGATCCCAAGTAAGGCCTGCAGTACCATCTCGGACCCATGCCACAGCCTTTCAAACATGGGCTACAGGATTTCACGGAGTGGGCTGTAACATTCTAAAGGGTGACATAGACTTCACGTATAACAATGAGGACAACCGCATGAGAATAATTTCAAGAACAGCTCCTATGTCAGAACTACAACACAAGATCTGCTGGGCGACTCAAGTTTCCATTTCTGGAAAACACGAACTACTTTGGACTGCCAAGGCCAGCATATCTGGGTTTCCCAGACCCCAGCATGATGGCACATATAAATGGGAGCAAGCAGCCCCTGTAGAGAGCTGCCCAGAGCCTCCCTGTGCTCCTCAGGGAGGTGGTGTGCAGCCCACAGCTGTCAGCCATGCTGGGATAGCAGCACACAGCTCACAAAAGGGTTGTCCCCCCAATCACTGCTGGTCTACACAGAGAGAGCTGCAGACAAAGCTGACAAGGGGGTGAACGAGTACCATGATGTGTAGTTCAGAAAATACATAAGTACCTTTATACATGTTATGTGCATAGTTCTCATTCTGAACTTTTTTCCTTTCTCTCCTTCTCGGTCCTCCTTCTTTCCCCCAGCAAGCTCTGAAATAACAAATAAAAGTAACATCAATGCTAGCTCCACACAGATGAGATAAACAAATGTGTGTGGAACAGGGAGGTGCATCTGTTTAGTGATTTTAAAATAAGCTGACATGTGTCTGTGTCACCAGTCCAGCTTATCTTCCTCCAGCCTATCATGCTTTTGTGTACATGTATTTAGCTGAAATATGATGGGAGGGAAGATTATTATTATTACAATATCCATTTGAAATATTCCAATCATTTAAATACTAAAAGTTACCCGTAAATTGTGGACAAACTTGTTGCATGTTGTGTTATCACTGCAGATTGAACTCTTGTAGGATAAAGGTCCAGCATGTTTCAAATATTTCTTGGTCTTTTTTGGACAGCCAAATATGAATAACAATTTATTTTGGCCAAAAAGACAAATTCCAGGTGAATTTATGTCCTTAATGGGAGATTTGCCATAACAAACAAGAAGGGGATATAGCTATAAGAATCAGTGTGTTCTAGTCAAAAGTGGAATATCTTAAATCAAAAGTTACTGTAAACTTAAAGGTTCCTGTTAAGCCCTTCTATTTAATCTTCAACATGAAAAGCTAGAATTCATGTCTTCTACTTTATTAAAAGAAAGGCAACCACTAGGATAAAATAATATTGAGAAATAAAATTTACCTTGGATTAGTTTCATGTAAACATAAAAAATCGACTTCTCAGAACTCACAGGAAAAAACATAATATAGTTAATATTAAATACAATGATTATGCAACCTATTACTTTTACAGTTTGTGCTCTTGTGTCCTTGATTTCAGCCCTGTTTTGCTTATGATTAATGAATGACTCACCTTTAGTACTCTTTCATTTATTTCATACCTCATTATGAATTTTAAAAGGTCATTTGTTATTTGAAAATTAAAAAAAAAAAAAAAGAATGGAAGTTGGACACTTTTCATAAATGCCAATGACATTTTTATAAATAAATTGCCAGTGCCCAGTATCATACCTCTTTGTAACTGTTTAAATTTTCTTACTACTATAGATATAATTTCAAAAACTTGGGTTTAGTCCCATATAGTAACAGGTGAAATGTCTGCACATTTTATGTGAACATCAGGAGTGCCTATGCACTCCCTATACAGTCATTCTCACTCATAAATCCCAGAATGACACCTGATGTGCATAACTCTTTTCTTTTTTAAATTGTCAAGATGCTACACTACAATTTCCCATGGTTTCTCATTTCTTTAGTTTGGAATATTATTTTGCCAGGGTTTGATACTCTGTGGTGGTTTTAAAACCACTGATTGTTTTTTGGTACTAAGGTACTATCCAAGGTTTTGTACCAAAAAGTTCACAGTACTTTTTTTTTTTTTTTTTTTTTTTTTTTAAGCTACATCCTTTTTCTGTTTTGATAATTACTTCCAACTACAGCATTTGGTAGTCACAAAATACACAAAAGTCTTGGGTCACATCCATGCTAAATCACATTCTGTGAGACAATCAAAGGCATAAGGCAAAGGCCAGCTTTTCTCTAATTTTCTAGAGGTAAATTCTTAAACCAAACGGGTGTCACTGTCAGAAGACAACAGTTACCATAAAAAACAAACAAACAAACAAACACACCTATAATCAACTGATAGCTTGTGGAGTAGATAATATCTGCAGAAGCTCGTAATAATTCCATTCAACAGAGTCACTGTCACAGCTGGCAACCTACGCTGTGGAACTTTGTGGTGGCACAGAAATCTCCTTTTGGACAGAGGGTGATCAACATTCTTCACAGCATTCACTTCTAGGACCATGTAAAAACAGGGCCTGTGCTGTCTATGGAGCAATGGCCTGCAAGGCTGTTTATAGCCTGGGCTACACTCCAGGCTCTGTAGACATGCCCAAGCTAACTTTAAACTGGACAGTTTGGTGATTTTTGGCAGTTCAAAGTTTCTTGATGTTCAAAGTTCTGCAAGGGACCTCACTGTAAAAAGGTTACCTCTAATTTACCAGTGACATTACCACATTTACCAGTGACTAAATTACCTATGATGTCCCAAAGACAGCTGCACCCAGCTCCTTCTGCAGAAGATAACCTGTCTTCATACCATGCCCTGTTTGGAGCCTGGCCCTTAACGTGTACACAGCAGCATCTGCACCTACTATTTTTGCCCTATCATATTTACAGCTGGATTATTCATGTGAGGTTTATTGAGGCTGGATGCTGAGGCTCCATCTGACTGAGAGCAAACCAGAGTCCATGGACTTTAGAAACAGAAATATAAAAATCAACCCCAACCAATTGCATACTTCTTCGCCCTGTACAATATGCATGGCTGTTTGTGGTGCCAAGTTCAATAACTTAAATGTTGTGTCATCACTAAAAATAATATAACTGAGCATGGTTAGTAATTGCAGCCTGACCTTCAGCCTCGGATTTGCTTAATATTGTGGCTTTATGTTTTCCCCCAATTTGTTTAGAACTCTTTGTACCATGGATTATTAATCTATAACTAAACATCGTCCTTGGTGTTCATCTAGATGACGATATTTGGAACCAAAGCAAATCTATTATCTTTTCTTTGAATTTTGTAAGCCTGTTTATTCGAAGCTTTTATTCAGCTTCTTCCAATAATTTCAGTGCAAACTGTACAAGAAAAAATGTAACTGTTTATTTAGGATCATTGTTTTAAATCACATCTCATCTATGATGCATTTCATCTGTAGACAGGTCGTTCTTAAGGTTAACTAAATTAAATGCTCATCCCAGCACTGTATGCTAATTCCTGACAAGCACTATAATAACTTTCAGTGTGAATAAAGGAGACAGTACAGCACATGACATATAGCAAATGTAAGAAAGTAATGACAAATAGTAAATAACTATTTACATGAGTTAGGTTGTATGTAAAAAAACAAAAACAAAACAAAACAAAACAAAAAAACCCTCAGTGGGAAAAGAAAAAGTAAAACTTCCTGAAGCTATAGGAAAAACGGGGGTTTGTGCTGAACATCACAGAAACCACAAAAAACTACAGAAGGTCTGCCTAGGTTACTACAATTCCTGACTATCATCTCAAGTGCAGAGTGAACAAAACCAAAGCATATATGGCAGAACAGAATGTTCTGAAGAACAGAATGTTACATAATGTGCATTTTTCTCGAAGGATTTCATCTTTAGTAAGTGGCTTCCTATTCAAGCAATGAGAGAACATAAACTCCTCCCTTATTAGAATGCAAGTTTGCTTCTCAAGGTGAATCCTTAGAGATAACTACAGACATTCTGAAACTTAACAGGAATTACTTTTGCTACTTGAAGAAGGGCAACTATTTCAAAATATCATTTATTATTTCTTATTATAATGATACCAAGAACAATTTTCAGGAACTATCCAGTCCTTATTTTGGCTCAAAACAATTTAAATGGCTTAACTGGGCATTTCTACTAGAATTTTTATATAAGGTTTTAAAACACAATCTATTGTAACTCATTAGAATTGGCCTGGCATTTCTGCACAGAATTTTGAGTTAGCTGTTCTCCTATGTCTGTGGAAACACTGAACAAATAGAAGCAGGTAATTTTCTGCTGTTTGCAAATCCCAAAGGAATGAAAACAAGTCTCCCCAGACTATCAAGAGCACTACATGTTTCTGCTTTGCTGTTAACTCAACAAATACACTTTTCCCAAAGCACTCTTAAAAAAAATTCCTTCCATCTTATATTTCCTCTGTAAGGAAATAAAATATATATATATATATATTAAAAAATAATAATAAAAAAGCATGCATAAAGCTAGTGAGAAGGGATGACTTTATTTTATTTTATTTTTTTATTTTTTTCCCCAAGTGATAAATTATACAGTAGCAATATCATAACATTGGATTACTGGGATATTTCTTCCAAAATGTATGTCTGTGCTTCCTACTGTCCCACAAAACAGACGTTATAAAGAAGGCAGCTTTAAAAAAATTAATCAACTTAATCAGTATCTGTAAGCATGAAATGCAAATGCAACTAAAGTTGGAACAAACCTTAACTTCCACCTTGTCTTTCCTTTTTTTCATATCCAACATAGACTGTGACTGAGGTGTCCAGATACCATTCCAGAAAGCCTTTATCACTTATGATCGCAATTTGGAGTCCTGGGAATATGCACATCAGATCTTTTACACAAATATCTGAAATGAAGAGCTCCTTGAGAAAGATGTGTGGAAATCCCCTTGCTCCTATATTATTTAAGGCTACTGTACAGACATGAGGCCATGGCTGCTTCCTGCATGAGCAAGCACTGTACAGAAAGTGACTTTTAGCCATATACATTTCTGTGTATTTCAGAAAAAAACAGTGCTTTTATATCCAGGTAGATGACATAGCTAATGACACAAGGAATATCTGACTACCTGAAATAACGGGGAACCGTACTTTGCAGCACAATATTCAGAAATCTCAGGCAAGTGTTTGTCTTTGTTTAAATTGCTGTTTTTTGGACAACTAGGTATTCATTTCTCTTGGCTCTACTATAAGATTACATTCACATATCGCTGACTGAATGTAACCAAGGTAATACTTGGATTCAGGAGTGACCCTTGCTAGGCTTTATCATGCCTATGTTCACATTGCAGGCTACTGCATACTGACCCCTACACCAGGCACCCATGCAGAACATGTGTTACATAGACTCAGAGGGTGAAAATATCAAACTACCATAAACCCTGTAACTGTCAAATGCAAGAAATGATAGACTATGCCCTAAAGCTCTACTGTGGCAAATTCACTGGTAGTGTGACTTCAGGCCCAACCTCAAATATGAATGTGTAAATTACATCTTTGGCACTCTTAACAGACACCTGCAACACTGTGGGAGCTTGTGCTACTGTACAGATGATTAGGTTCACTCTCATTGCTTTTCAAAGATTGACTTACAGCAAGCAAGGATGCAGAGTACATTAGGCTTTCAAAGAGGAGGACTTGGGGGGAAGGTAACCTGAATGTTTAGCACATTTTATAGTAAGATCTGGAATAAAGGATGTGG